CAACGGTTGATCGCTGGAATTGGCAATACGCAGTGTTGGAAGCTACAAACACCTGCGAACAACAGAACAATCTGGACGCTCGATTGGCTGAAAGCCACATTTCGTCCTGTGCATACTGAACTGAACTCTTATATGGTACTTACGTAAGACCGCCATTAGAATAAGGAGACCAAACTGCGTGCTCTGGGCTTGTGGGTGATCGTAAATCCCTCGAACAAGTTCAGCGAGCAGCCACAAAGCTAGTCTCAGGTTTCTTTCACGACCCATACCCCACCCGTCTTACCACACTGAACCTTTACGCTCTAAACACCTGCGGCATTCCAGCGGGGAGAGATGAAGAAGTGAAGATGCAAATCTGCCTTCCGTGTTCCTCACCTTTTTCGAAGGTCTTTCCCCCATATCACCAAGAAAGACTTTCCACTTATTTATGACACCCATATCCGTCCTCTCCTAGAATATGGCNAATATGGCAGTCAAGTTGTTCATTCCGGCCTGATCCGTGGTCGTGATGCTCTCGAACGAGTTCAAACAGCGGCAAATAAAGCGGTGGTTGGAATGCAACATCTTGCCTATCCTGAACGTCTAGTGGAGCTTAATCTGTATCCTCTGGAAATCAGGCGAATTAAGGTTGACTTATTTCTTCTACGCCACCTGTTCTCCTCGGACCTAGTTGGTAAGTTCTTCACGTTAGCCCCCACGGGGGGAACACGGGGTAATAGCAAAAAGCTATACAAACCTCAACCCCGAACCACACTTCGCACATCCTTATTTACCTTCAGGGCAATTTCGCAATGGAACGCATTGCCAGAAGAGATAGTCTCTTCAATAAGCAAAACGTCTCGACTTGATAAGTATCTAGGTCTAGTTGCCTCCTCCTGAGTCCTCCTATGAAAAGCTATATACATGTATTCAAGAACAAGAACAAGAACAAAACAACAACAAAAAAATAACAAAACAAATTTTTTTAAAGTTTGCTTTTTATTATTTATTTATTTTTGCTGTAGCCCTTCTTAGTTATTCTATACCTGCCCATTTACTATAGCTAATTGTTACGTTTATTATTAATGATGCCAGAATAGTCCTTGGGCAAGAACACATATTGCCACTCCAGTTTTCTCTGATTTTCCAGTTCCATCTTGCAGGAACAGAAAACAAGAAACCATCGAGCATCTGGGACCATTGGGCGCCAGCCTAGAATCTGAGAGTCAATTCATGACTTCACTTCAAGACTCAGTCGTGCCGACTGGCAGAAGAGTTGGTAGGTAACATCATACAAGTGAGGTCTCATCTCGCCCGGCAAGTTGAATTTTGTTTTATGGCATCAATAATTGTTGAGCTTTCTCAGGCGCGCTAACGTACAGCAATTTGTGTTCTCGCGAATTTCGTATTTTTTGACATGCATTCGGTCTTTCGGTGTACCAGCAGCATTAAGCACAAAGTCGTGAATCTGCAATGGATCGTATCACATACGAGAATGCTTCAGTTGAATAGTCAAACATCCAGTACTCTCGCTGTGGACAAGCAATTGGATACAGACGAAACCCTACACCCAGAAACAAAGCTGGATTTTCGTAACTCAAAAGTTTCACATGTATCGAAAAATAATTTGGAATTGTTGAGAGGCATCGTTGTTTATCGTCTTTGTTCTATTCCGCCACTTGTTAAATGGAACAAACAAGTATGCCCACCTTGGGTTAAATGAAACTTTGCATATAATTTCTCAATTTTCAGTTGATCGCATTTAGTCGAAAGCTGCTAGGAAAATGGCTTTTCGGTAAAATGATGAAATCAACGTTTTATGGTCATTTTGTTGCCGGAGAGGACAATGTCTCAATAAAACCAGTTGTTGGTCGAATTCGTAAATATGGGGTTAAGTCGATCCTGGATTATAGTGTTGAAAGAGATATCGACGAATCAGAGGCAGTAAACAAAGTCAAGTAAGTTTTGGTGGAGTGCTGGGTTATAATTCACAGCTATGTGGAAATTCTTCAAGCCCCGATCAAGGGGACGTGATTTTCCTAGTTATGCCGGTGTCTGAGTTTATATAACCTATTCTGTACTCTCATGGCTTTTGAAACTTTTTCTCTTTTAACAGGAAAGGTCTTGCTGAAGTTGTTTGTGAACCAAATGTTCGACCGGATGCAGCTACCAAAAAGTATCAGACAAGTCTTCAGTTTGCTGATCGATCGAAGCAGGTTGTTGGAGCACGAACTTACTTCTATGAGTCCGAATACCAATGTGACAAAAATATGGAAACGTTTTTGCAGTGTATTGATTCCGTATCCCATTCTACAGAGAAAGAAGGGTTTGCCGCTATCAAGGTGACTGCACTGGGCCGCCCGCAGTTGTTGGTAAATATATTGATTTTTTCTTTTATCTGGTTGCTAATGTAGCTCCAAATGTCAGATTTTCTCGTTCAGATGGAACGTCTCTTCAAAATCCTAACGGGGAGAATAAAAACTGATGACGAAGAACCGCTCGNCGCTCGAACCACTGTTAGTTCTTGATCTGGAGAGCTTCAGAAAACGGCTCGAATGGCTGGGTGTCCAAATCTCCTATGACGAAAAGGTGGAGTGGTTCACACTGTTGGATGTTTCTGGTGATGGGTAGGGCAATGAACTTTGTTTTATTGTTTTCAGTTTTGTTGATCTTTTAGACTGGAGTCATTTGAAAGCATTTGAATACGACCTCGCAAGAATCTTCACCATAAAAAATCGTAAGGTAAGGGCCAATATTAATGATGAATTGCTCTTGAAAAACGAATTATCATGCACCTCAGATATAGACTGCTGCGATTCACTCAAGTTCGATTGTGATCATA